AAAGGCAGGGGGACAAGGGCAGCAGCCAAGGCAGAAGCTTCACCCACCCTCACCTGTCCTGACCCAGCCTCCACCCCTGCCCGCAGCTCTCTCCCGAGGAAGAGGCTCAGCGCCCCACCCCCAGAGCCTCCGGGCCTCCATCCCAGCCCTCTGGGTCTGTGGTCATCTGTGGGTCTTGGACCCCCAGTTCTCTGGGTCTCTGTTCTACACCCTGGGTCTCCAGCCTCTCTGTCTCTCTCTGGACCTCTGTCCCCCTCTTTCCCCGCATCTCTGCCCTCTCTCCAGGTCTCTGCCTCGGTTCTTACCTTCAGCTTGGACTGGATTTCTCTCGATTTCCTCCGAGCCAAAACCTGGATGTGACTAGAGACCTGCAGGGGTGGAGAGAGAAGCAAACTGGAGCCACAGCTACCCACCCCAGCACCGCTCCTCCTTCCCTCCATTGGGGCCCGGGGAGCCCCTTGATACAAAGGATGGCAAAGACACACAACAGGCAGGCTGGGCCCTTCCCAGGAACTGGCTACCTTAGCAACCAGCCCTGTCCCATCCCCACCCTCCCCTTTTAGGCTCTTTTGGTCTCTGCTTCTAAAACAATAGCTACAGCTACAGAGCTGGCCGTGGTGGCACACGCCTGTAATCCCGCACATGGGAGGCTGAGGCAGGAAGATTGTTGCAAGTTTGAGACTAGCCTGGGCTACAAAGTGCATAGCGAGACCCTGTCTCAAAAAGACAAAAATAAATAAATAAACCAACAGCTACAGAAACTACCCTCAAACAGGCAGTGGAATCACGCTACCAGGCATGCCAAGAAGCCAGACAAAAGCTCATGAACCAGACCCTCCACAGGAAGATGCCCATCCCAAAGGAGAGAAGCCAGCCCCAACGGAAGGCCACAAGCCAGCCCTGAGACCTGTTTCCGAGTCCGGGTCTTCCCGGTTCTGAGCTTGATGTAGCGGGCAATCAGTTCATTTCGACCTGTAGAGTCAACACAGAAGAGAGTTAGATGGTCAGCAGAAATCCCCTACTGAGGAAAAGACTGGCATCTCAAAGCTGCAGCCAGCTGGGCTCCCAGGTAGCTGCGGGCGAGGCAGACAGACGACAGGTGCTTGCGGGCAAACCCCAGCCTTGGACTAGCTCTGTGACTTTAGGCAAACTACTTAACCTTCCCGAGCCTCAGTTTCCTCATCTGTGCAAATGGTGATGCTAGCTCCTAGCCCAGAAGATGAGACAGTTTTTTAAATGAACAGCACTGACAGCTCTGTTAAGTTGGTTATCATTTTTTGTTTTGTTTTGTTTTTTTGAGACAGGGTCTCGCTATGCAGTTCCGGCTGGCCTTGAGCTCACTCTGTAGCCCAGGCTGGTCTCGACCTCGCAACAATCCTCCTGCCTCAGCCTCCCAAGTGCTGGGATTACAGGAGTGCACCACCATGCCCGGCAGTTATCATTATTATTGCACAGTAGGGGTCAGGACAAAAGAGAGGGGTGAACTCACCATACATCTTGCCTTCATCAGAGAGGATGATTTTCCGGCGGCCACAGGGCGGGTAGATGGCCAGGGCCTCCTGGAAGCTCTGCTCGATGTCGGGGCTCCAGACGCCCTCTGCATCTGGGCCACCATCGCCCCCGGCCCCCTCGCTGCCACCTGTGCCCTCCTCACTGCCTTCCTCGCTGCCAGTCCAGCCGCTGCCATCCTCCAGGGGGGCCCCAGCCCGGGGTTCCCCCATCTGGGCCTGTAGGAACACGGAGCTCAGCACGCTCCCCCGACCCACCCGGAGGGGATCAACACTGTAAGACTGGGGCCCAGAGCCCTGGGTATGAAGGAAGGCTGGGCCTGCACCCCCAGGTCTGTGGGAGCAGGCTGGGCCTGCACTCCTGGGTCGTAGAGGAGAAAGGGGATGGATTTCTGGAGTAGTTTGGGAGGGGAAGTTGCTCTCCCCTCAGTTCCCGGAGAAGTTTGCACTGTGATGAAACCTAAACACTCCCAAGTAATGCCTAGGGCCATGAGGGCCGAAACTTTGAGTGTGGGCTACCAGTTCAAAGAACACAGGAGTCGGGTTAGTTGCTGGGAAGCAGAGTGTGGGTGAAAGCTCCCAGGCCCACCCCTAGAACAGGTGTTAGGAAGCCAGTAGCAGCTGCTAGAAAAGAAGGAGGGGCACAGGCCCAACACAGGCTGAGTGGAGAACCTGAGAGGGGACAGAGACCAGAGAGGGGGAGGGGAGCAGCGGGAGGGGGGACCACAGGGATTCAGAGGGGGAGGGGAACGCGAGGGGCGGGAGCGGAGCCCTAGCGAGACAGGAGCAGAGATTCAAGGCGAAACTGATGCAGAGACCTGGAAAGAGCCACAGAACCACAGGCTGGAGGGCAGGGGCGCCCGCAGAACCACAGCTGGGGGGACAGAGGCGCCCGCAGAACCACAGGCTAGGGGACAGGGGCGCCCACAGAACCACAGATTGGGGGGCAGGGGCTAGGGCCATCTGGAGAGCCAGAACAAAGGGCCCAGGCGTCCCCTCCCCCAGCTTCCCACAACCCCTGTCGGGGGCGGGGCTGCCGGCCTGGGCGCCTCCCCTCCGGCCCGGCCCCGCCCCCTCCCCTCCCCCTCCGCCGTGGGCTTGATCCAAGCCAAGTTCCCTGTGACTTTCCGGAGGCCGGGAACAGGGAAAACTTTTTCCAATACAGTCCGATCCCGCCTCTCTGGAGGCTCCATGTCTTCCGCAGCTTTCCCAGGACCCCAGAGTCAAGATCTCCATCCCCCCTCCTCCCTCGAACCCCAGACCCGAAGGGGAAGCAGACAAAGACCCAAGGCCCAGCCCAGTGGCGCTACGCGTTCAGGACCCCCCTAGGCCAAAACCCCAGCCCAGCCCTCCCCCATGTGGCCAGACAAAGAGACGGAGGCGCCGGGTGGGAAAGATGCCCCCCTGATTTCGCGCCCCAGGCCTCAAACCTCAAAGAGACCGAAAAGCAGATCCGGGACGCCCCACAGCCCTCCCTCGGCCACCCTGGGGGGCTCCCCGTGTCCATGAGAGGGGCCGGACGCCCACAAATCGCACCCACACACCACCTCGATCAGAAACACACACGAGGTCTCTCTTGTGGCAGAGTGGCACCAGGACTCCGCGCGGCGACCCTCGGGGTTCCAGACCCCGGCCACCCGGCGCCCCGATTGCACGCGTCCCCAGCGCCCCAACTCCGCCAAAGTTCCCACTGCGCCCGCGCGCGCGCAAACTCGCGCCCCGGGCCGAGGGGAGTGCGGGCCATTCCCAGAGGGTCTCCAAACGCAACCTCACCTCATCCCGCGTAACTTCCCACCCCAACTCACACACCCCAGAGCAGGATCCCGACTCCCGCCGGCGCCTTCCTACCTCCCGGCCTGGGGCTGGGGAGCCGCGGGCGGGCGGGGCGCGGCGGCGGAGAAAGTTGCCGGGAGCTTTGTTTGGGAAAAGTGGGAGGGACCGAGGGGGGGCGGGCCCGGCGGCCGGCGGAGGGGACGGGATCCGACAGTGACAGTTTAGGGGAGGATTCAAGCTTTAGGAGAGAAGTCCAGCTGGGGGCTGGAAGGAACTCGGAGCTCCGACGCTTGAGTCCCCAGGAGGACTGGGGCCGTCCGGGTCTGTGTGGGACCAGGGCTCCTAGTTCTGAGAAAGGAGGCTGAGCCAGGACCCCTGGGTCTGAGAGAGGAGACTGGCGTCTGCACCTCTGGCAACCCTCTAGGATGTCCGTTTGTTGGGGATTGGTAATTATACAAACACAAAAGGATCTTTACTGTCAGCCCCAAGTATATTTTTGAAGATTAGACCATTGGGATGAGTCCGGTTGACTCCTGTGCAAGATGGCTTCCTTGTGACCTTCCTTGTGACCTCACCGGGTTAAAAGTCGTGGACAAGATCTCTGGAGGCTGATAGTGGTTCCTGGAGATGCCGGATCCTGCTCACATGCAGCGGTGGCCTGGAGGCTGTGGTTGTCCCAGGACAGGACAGCGCCTCAGCCTGAGGGAAGAGGGGTTAACATCCTGACTCCTGATTCCTTAAAAATGGAGGAGTGGCTGGGTGTGGTGGTGCACGCCTATAATCCCAGTACTCAGGAAGCTGAGGTAGGAGGGTTACCATGAGTTGCAGGCCAGCCTGGACTACCTAGCTAGACCCTGTCACAAGAAAAAAAAAAAAGTTGGACTGAACTCGTGCCACCAGGTGCTACCAACTGGATTCTGGGGTCCTGACAGGAAAGTGAGCCTGGAACCTTGGAAGATGAAACTTCTGGAGAAAGCAGGGTTTTTGAGTGGAACCAGAACAGGAAAACGAGAAGGGACACAGAGAAAGGCTCAGAGGGGCTGGGGATTTAGCTCAGCGGCAAAAGCGCCTGCCTGGCAAGCGCAAGGTCGTGAGTTCAGTTCCCAGTACCGGAGAAAAACCAAAAAAAAAAAAAAAAAGAGAAAGGCTCAGAGATAGATATAAAACTGAAGGAGCCAAGGTGCTGAACGCCTACTGTAATCCCAGCTCAGCCTGAGCAATTTAGCAACTTGGCAAGAAACTATCTCAAAAAATAGAAAGGGCTGGGAATACAGCTCAGTGTGAAGGCCCCGGGTTCAATCTCCAGTGCAAAAGAAGAAAATAAAAACCCTCAAGAGCAAGCGACTAGAATGCTCGGATTACAGCGCTTCAGGAGCACAGGGAGGCTAGGGATGAAACTGGGGTAGGGGACTGGGGCACAGAGGAATGACCCAGGTTTTGGGGTGCGGCCTTCAATCAAGTGGGACGGCTATATGTGATTTGCGCGGGACTAGGACTGGAGGCCCAGGTCAGAGCGCACACTAGTGTACTGTGTACTGGATCTCCAAGGCTATTACCTAGAAGGGGCGTGGCCAGAGGAAGAAGGCGAGGCCAAGGAAAAAAGTTGGGCTGTGGTTTGTGCTTCAGGGAGAATGGAGGCGTGGCTCAATGTGAGGGGGCGTGGCTATGAAATAGAGGCCCGGGCTCCTGGATGAGGCCGGTAGGTGGGCGTGGCCAGATGATGGGGGCGTGGCTACCTCTAACGCTCCAGGTGTCTCGCGTGGGCTGGCGACCAGAACTGTTTGGACTGTAACAGTCCTCGGTGGACTGCCGGAGTCTGGGAGTCCGGTGACAGGGCTGCGGTCTGGCATAAGGGTGGGGCTCAGAAGAAGCCCCGGAATGTGGGCCAAGGTGAGGTCTGAGATGCGCCTGTGATTTGGGCGAAGGGCCGAAGGGCGGACTGCGCAGGATGGAAGTGGGGGTAACGGATGGGCGGGGCCTGGGCGAGGGGCAGATTGGAGGTGTCCTGAGCGGGGTGTGGCTCCTGCGGGACTAGGGCCCTGATCCCCTCCTTGGCACAGCCTTCCCTCCTGGCCATGTGGCATCCTCTGGTCCTGCTGCTACTGCTCCCCTGCGCCCTGGTGCCCCCCTCATCCACGGCCCCTGTCCTCGATGGAGACGCCCAGGAGAGCTCTTCGGATTTCCTAGGCCTCCAGAGCCTCTTCCAAGGCTTCAGACGACTATTCCTGAAAGTAAGTGATGGTGGGAGAGGAGGAGGCAGAAGGCGAGAGAGACAGGGCAGCAAAGGATAGGAAAAGAGAGAAGGTAAGAGGCAAAGAGGAGAGATGAGCAGGGAAGGGATGGGGACGGAGACAAAGGGACAGATGAGAGACAGGGGTATGGGACTGAGAGCACAGCCAGGACAGATAAAGCCTGGGGACTTGGCTGAGCCCTGCGGGGCATCCCGGGGAGACGAGGTCCAGTGGATCACTGGTCGCCCCTCCGGCCCTAGGATGACCTGCTGCGAAGTCTGGACAGCTTCTTCTCTGCCCCCATAGACTTCTGGGGCCTCCCCAGAGACTTCCACCAACAGCAGGACCAGCAGCGCCAGCTGGGGAACAAGACGCTCTCCAGCCACGTCCAGATTGACAAGGTGCCTCTGGGGGGAGCCCTGCAGTCTCCCCTGTACCCTTCATGCATGCTGTGGTACCTGTCAGGGAGGCTTCTCGAGCCCAGGGGCAAAATAGCTTTGTCTTCACTTTCTCACCGGGTCTGAACAGGTGACGGACAACAAGACAGGAGAGGTGCTCATCTCTGAGAAGGTGGTGGCCTCCATGGAGCCAGATGGAAACCTGGAAGGTGACCAAAAGGTTAGGACAGGAACCGCCCCAAGGGACCTAGGCCTCAACTTTTCACGTGGTTCAGGAGGAGGGGAGAGGAATTGAGCCTCCCTCTCTCTAGGTGCAACTTCCTGTTCTGAGGCCTTAGTTTTGTCATCTGTCAAAAGGGACAAACCAGCTCAGACGTGAGGTCTACAGCCTCAGAATATATCCTCAGCTGTTGAGTAAAGCACAGAGAGTTTTGTGAGCTCCAAGTGTTTTGTAGACTAGGATACGGTTTTACTTTAGAGGGCTTTGTAAGCTTCACCCCCACAAAACCTCAAAATATGTTTGTATTCAAAATACGTGTTCTCCCAGAGCACTTAAAAAATCTACCCCAAAGTCCTTGTTAAACTTCTCCCTTGTAAACTTCAGAAGATGTGCTTTAACTCTGAACCTTCACACTGAGCTATATCCCCAGCCCTTTTTAATTTTATTTTAAATTTTCAGACAGGATCTTGCTAAATTCCCCAGGGTGGGCTCAAACTTTTGATTCTCTTGTCTCAGCCTCCCAAAGTGCTGGGATTATAATTGTGTGCCACCACACCCAGCACAAAATGTATTTTTTGGACTGGGTGTGGTGGCCTATGGCTGTAGTTCCAGCACTCAGGAGGCTGAGGCAGGAGGATCGCCATGAGTTCAAGGTCAGCCAAAACTACATAGTGAGACTTTGTCTCAAAAAGCCAAGTGTCAGCCAGGCATTGGTGGCACATGCCTGTAATCCTAGCACTTGGGAGGCTGAGACAGGATTGCCATGAGTTTGAGGCTAGCCTGGATTGTATAGTGAATTCAAGGTCAGCCTGAACTACATAATGAGATCCTGCCTCAAAAAAAAGCCAAGCGGGGCTGGGGATTTAGCTCAGCGGCAAAAGCGCCTGCCTGGCAAGTGCAAGGTCGTGAGTTCGGTTCCTGGTACCGGAGAAACCCCCCCCCCCAAAAAAAAGCCAAGCATGGTGGTTCATACTCTGGAGGCTGAGCCAGGAGAATTGCCAATGTGGGCTACACAGGGAGATCCTGTCTCAAAAAAATTAAAAAAAATAAACAATATAAATAAATTTTTAAATACCTTTATTTCTGAACTATATGATAGGAATTGCTAACATTGAGATATTTCAGCTCTAAATACTTCCATACCTTCTCCTAAGAATATTCTCCCTTGTGACCTAAATATCATTTTTATGGGTAAGAAAAATAATGTTATTACACTTATCTCAGTATTACTTTACTGGGGTTGCTGTAATAAAGGGCCACCAATTTGGTGGCTTAAATGATGGAAATTTATTCTTTCTAGAGCTTAAGCTTTCAGAATCAAGGTGTCAGCAGTCATGGTTTTTTGTTTGGTTTTTTTTTTTGGTCAGTACTAGGGATCAAACATATATATTTACTATACAGAGCTACATCCCCAACTCATTTTTTTTTTAATTTTGAGAAAAGGTCTAAGTTGCTTAAACTGGCCTGGAATTTGCCATACTCCTGCCTCAGCCCCCCAGAGTGCTGGGGTCACAGGTGTGCACCCCCATGCCCAGCTTGAGAAGCTTTTTTCTTCTTCTTTTTTTTTTTTTTTTTTCAAGACAGGGTCTCCCTGCACAGTTCAGGCTAGCCTTGAGCTCACTTTGTAGCCCAGGCTGGTCTCGAACTTGCAAAGATCCTCCTGCCTCAGCCTCCTGAGTGCTGGGATTATAGGTGTGCGCCACCATACCCTGCATGAGAAGCTTTCTTCTGAGGGCTTCAGAACCTGTTCTCTGCCTCTCCCTCAGCTTCTGGAGTTTTGCTGTTCATCCTTGGCATCCCTCGGCTTGTCGATGCCTCTCCCTGATCTCTGCCTGCATCTGCCCAGTATCCTCCCTTTGTGTGCCTGTGACCAAATTTTCTATCTACATGAGGGTAACAGTTAGATTAGGGTCAAACTAAGACTTCACCCTAACTCATTAAATCTGCAATAATACAGACAAGGTCATATCCTAAGGCATCCAACACACAAATTTGGGGAGGGTAACAATCTATCCTACGAGGTTTCTCAGACCTCAGCTTGGTAAGTGCAGACACTGGGCGGAGCGAGACACACTAATTTTCATGCCTCCCACTTTAAGCAGGGAGGACCAAAAAGACATTTAGTCCACCATCAAATTTCCCCACTTAAAGCTGTCCTTGAAAGCTGGCTTCATTTTGATCCAGGATTTGATCAAAGATCCCAAATTGCATTTATGGTCATGAGTCTTTGGTAAACCCAACAGCTTTTAATCCCAAAGCCCTTTGTTCATTTCAAACTGCCTTTTAAACCTCAGAGTGTTTAATCCTAAAGTGCTTTGTAATCCAACAGGCATTATAAACCCCAAAGTTCTCTGTTTACCTCCCTTTTGAGAACCTCCCCAAATGTATTTTCAAGGCCAAAGTATTGTATAAATCTCAGTGTCTTTAATTCTAAAGCATTTGCAAAGCCCAGTGTGTTGTAAACCTCAGAGAGCTTTTTAACCCCTAAGCTCCTGTCAGCTGTCACGTGAGGTGAGCTGAGTGCTGGGTGTCCTATATGGAGTGTGAGTCAGTCTCCTCACCCCTCCTGCCCAGGTTCCCAAGAATGAGAAGGAAGCCCTGGTGCCCACTGGAAATGTCATGGGCAGCTCCCACCCGGAAGCCCACCACCGAATGGCCTTCTGGATCATTAAGGTGCCGCGGAGAAAGTCCCATCAGGATGCTGAGGAAGACAGTGGCTGGCTCAGCGAGAAGAAACACCGCCTGCAGGCCATCCGGGACGGGCTCCGAGAGGGGAGTCATGAAGGAGTCCTGGAAGATGGGCCCCAGGACTCCTCCCACTCCAGGCTGCCTGGCCGGAAGACCCACTTCCTGTATATCCTTAGGCCCTCCCAGCAGCTGTAGAGGTGGGGCTGAGGAACGCTGCAGGTCTCCTCCCCAGCACCATATGGAAATAAAGAGTTCTAACAAGTAGCCGTACTGTCTATTTTGGGGTTTTTTGTTTGTTTTGTTGTTGTTGTTGTTATTTTTCTTCCGGTACTGGGAATCGAACTCACGACCTTGCACTTGCCAGGCAGGCGCCGTGCCGCTGAGCTAAATCCCCAGCCCCGACTGTCTGTTTAGGGGATCTATCCCCAGGCCCTATCCAGCCAGGCCACATAGGTCCCCCTAACCCTAGTCCTAAACGTGAGGGCCGGCTGCAGCAGCTTTTGCCTAATTCTCCAGGTTTGGTTTTCTCATTCAAACGGAGTCTGGCTCCTGACTGAGCCGCTCAGCCCCCAAGCCTGTCACCTCTGGCTCTGTCTGCCCTATCAGCCCCCAAGCCTGTCACCTCTGGCTCTGTCTGCCCTCTCAGCCCCCAATTCTTCCACCCCAGTCCTCACCATCTGCTTGGCCCTTGTATTAGTTTCCTGTGGATGCTGTAACAAGTGACTACTGACTCAGTGACCCAAAGTAACATAAATGTTCTTTTTTTTTGAGACAGGATCTTGCTGTGTAGTTCAGGCTGGTTTTGAACTCACTATGTAGCCCAGGCTGGCCTCGAACTCACAGTGATGCTCCTGCTTCACCCTCCTGAGTGCTGGGATTACAGGTAGGTGTCACCACACCCAGCTTGGAAGCAGCCTATATGTCTGTTAACAGACAAATGATAAAGAAAAGATAGTATTGGGCTGGGGATTTAGCTCAGCAGCAAAAGCGCCTGCCTGGCAAGCGCAAGGTCGTGAGTTCGGTTCCCGGTACCGGAAAAAAAAAAAAAAAAAAAAAAAGAAAAGGTAGTATTTACATACAATGGAGTACTACTGTGCCATAAAGATGAATAAACTTTAGTCATTTAAGGGAAAATGAATTCACCTTGAAACCATAGTATTAAGTGAAATCAGACACATGTTTTGTTTTTTTAATTTTTTTTCCTGGTACCGGAAATGGAACTCATGACCTTGCACTTGCCAGGCAGGCGCTGTGCCGCTGAGCTAAATTCCCAGCCCCAGCTAAATCCCCAGCTCCAGACACACGTTTAAATATCACACTGTAGCCGGGTGTGGTGGCATGCCTGTAATCCTAGCACTTGGGAGGCTGAGACAGGAGGATCGTTACAAGTTCAAGACCAGCCTGGGCTACAAGGTGAGCTCAAGGCCAGCCTGAACTGCATAGTGAGACCCGGGCTCCAAAAGACGAAAAAAATCTTTTCTCTTATATGAGAAACCCAGATTATAAATAAACAGCAAACTAAAAGATAGCTATAGGAAGTAGGGAGATTTTTCTCAAAGGGGACAGGGATCAAGAGATGGAGGGAGGAAAGAAGTAAGGAGAGGAAGGGAGACAAAAGGAATGAGGGCCGAGGATATAGCTCAGTGGCATGGCACCTGCCTGGCAAGGTGGTCCTGCCAGGTCCTGAATTTGATTCCTGTTACAAAAAAAAAAAAAAAAAAAATGAATGAAGACGTGTTACATACGTGTAGCAACTCTACACAAGGAATGTAAACATCATGTACTGCAAACATGCACTAACATAGATTTTAAAAGGGTCAGGGGTTGTATATCGCCACCTCATCTCAGTTCCTCCGGGAAACTCTTAAAGAATCCCACCCACACTATACCTCAGACTGATCTCAGCAGCTTCCACTTCTGAGCACTGATCTACTCCGTCACCCAGGGCTGGTGCTCCCTAGTGTTACCTAGATTTTTTTTTAATGAGAAAAAGTTGTTTGCTCACAATGTAACTTTCATTGATCCACAAATATGGAATGAGTCCCCAGCACTGCGCTAGGCTTTGAGTTTTGAGCCATGAGCTGTGAGCAAGACAAAGCCCCAGTGTCACAGGATTTCGTAGGGAAGAGTGACAATAAAATATATTGGGTGCCGAGGAATGCTGTGTGGGACAGAAAGTGATTTTAAGGGAACAAGATCTACTGTAGATGGAGTGATCAAAAGCGGCCACTCTGACACATGAATAGAGACCAAGCTAAAGAAGCAAGTTCTGTCCTGGGGAAATCCAGAGGAAAAGACTTTCAGGCTGAGGGAGCAGCACATGCAAAGGCCCTGAGGTTGGAAATGGCTTGATTTGGCTAGAAATGAAAAAAAAAATAGCTGGGGATGGTGGCACCCACCTGTAATCCTAGCATTGTGGGAGGCTGAAGCAGGAGGACCACAAGTCCCAGGCCACCCTAGGCACTTTAATAACTCAGTAAGACCTTGTCTCAAAACTTTCAACAAGGGGAGAATGTGCTAGAGGTCGTTGTTGGTCAGCCACATCACGATGTGTGGGGACTGTGTGGAGAAGGAGTATCCCAACTGGGGTAACACCTGTCTGGAGAATGGAGCATTTTTATTGAACTTTAAAGGCTGTGCAGTATGCAATAAGTGGGATTTTATGATGATCACAAACAGATTCCTAAAAGAGGAGGATGAAGAAGAAATAGTGACCTATGATCATCTGTGTAAGAACTGTCATCATGTAGTGGCCTGGCGTGAGTGTACATTCAGTATCATGGATGAATTTCAGGAGTATACCATGTTGTGTCTGTTATGTGGCAAAGCTGAAGATACCGTCAGTATTCTCCCTGATGACCCTCGACAAATGACTCTGTTATTCTAAGACTCCTTCTTCAGTTCTGTTATGTCTGTGTTGGGTTGGTTTACAATACAGCAAGCCTGATAGTTTATCTCATTAAAAAAAAAAAAAAAAAAAAAACTTTCAACAAGGGGCTGGAGATGTACCTCAGTGTGAAGGACTTAGGCTCCATCCCCGTAACAACAACAAAAAAAAAGCACAGTTATTGATAAAGCTACATGAGAGAAGATTGAAACAGAAGCAAGGCCCAGAAATTCCCTTTTCCCTCTGACAGCCAGAAGGGGATGTGACCCAAATGACAGCTGTCACCCCCCCCATCACTCACCATCCCTGGTTCAAGACTTCCTGACACCCCTGGGTTACTTTTCAGCTACTGTCCTGGACGCCCTGATAAGCGCCACAGCTCAGCCGACAAAACCCCTCCACCGCTCCCGCTACTCCATGCTGCGGACACCTCTGTGAAGAGTGGAAGGAAAGCCACACCTGACAGGGCAAAGATTGGGAAGGGAGCAGGGCCCATTGTCCACGGCCCTAAAATCCCTAAACTCCACTGGGCCATGACGGATATGGCCAGCTCTGCTGAAGACCCCTCAAAAGCCCTGGCAATTATGATTTCAGCCCCCTGTTCATCATCACAAAGACACAGGAGCTGTCGACAGAGCACCCGCTTTCCTTAAGTTCCACTGAGCTGTCACCAAGACAGCCGTGGCTGTCCCAGATGCCCTCAGAGACCCCAGGAGATACCGGCCCCAGCCACGCCAGGCTTGAAACTCTAACCCCAGATGACTCCACTCCATGGCCACTGGTGTTCCTTGGAAGCTTCTCGGGTCTGGGAAATACACAAAGCTGCGCGTGCCAGGCCCACTACAGCGGCGCTTGCTTCCAGTCCTCGGGTCACTTGGGGGCCTCCTTCCCACACGCTGCGCCCCTGTGCTGCAGCACGGGTCCCAGTAAAGCTCGCTGCTGTGGTCTTGAAAACCTGCTTGCCTTTCGTACCCCAGGCAGTGTGAGCAGAGCGGGGCGCATTAAAAAAGCTGTAAACGCTAGGGGCTGCTAGGCCTGAAGAGCTCCGGACACCAGCAACAGCCCATGAAGACCCGAGCAGGCTGATGGCAGAGAACATCAGAGACTGGCAGCCGCCACCAGCTGGCCAGTGACAAGCAGCACCGACCAGCCACAGTGACGGGCATCGCCTGACAGTGATTGGCAGAGAGCAGCGGAGAAACACAGACAGCCAGCAGGAGGCACTGAGAGAGCTCCAGAAAGCTGCCCAAGGGACTGTGAGCCTCGGCTGCAGAGGGGCTGATGGGGCGGCCAGGAACTGCCAAGAGCTGTCCCTGGGGCTGGAGCCGCTAGCACTCGAAGCCCGGAGCTGCTGGTGGAGGTGCACCTTGCTGGGCTGTGGTTGCCATCCAAACTGAGCTACGTCACTCTCGGCTGATGTTGTGACAAGATCATAAAACTAGAGGTGGGGTGGAAGAAGGTTAATCATGTAGGGTATTTGGGTGGTAAGTTTGTTCATTGGCTTGCAGTTCTGGGATTTGTTTGTAGTAGCTGAGATTACAGACATCTGCCTCTATGGCCATTTGTTTTTGGGTTGTTTGGTTTTTGTCTTTGTCTTTTTGGGACAGGGTCTCCCTATGCAGTTCAGGCTGGCCTTGAATTCACTTTTTAGGCCAGGCTGGCTTCGAAATCACAGTGATCCTCCTGCTTCAGCCTCCTGGGTGCTGGGATTACAGACATATGCCACCAGGCCTGGCCCTCTATGGCCATTTGATATTGAACTTTTGTGTTATTCTCTCTGCAATAGAAAGCAATCCACATTTTACAATTAAAGAAGTGACACAAACTTAATTACTTATTATCCAAGCAGGGCACAGCAGCATGTGCCTGTAGCCCTAGCTACTGAGGAGGCTGAGACAGGAGACTTGCTTGAGCCCAGGGGCGCAGAGGTAACATACTGGAAACTCCAGTCAAAGAAACTCCAGTCAAAGAAAAAAATTTTTTGCTTGCCACTATAATGGAGTAGCTAGTATCTGACTAACTCTCCCACCAAAAGTACCTTTGAGTTCTGAATATAACTAATAAAAATAACTGTTTGGAGCCATAAGGGCACCAAAGCAGATACAAATCAAAGAATCATGGTTCCAGAGAGAAACGAAATGTGATGAAACCAGCCCGACATTCCAATGCGATTTCCCCTCGGGCTTTGCCAACGCTGAAATTATGCTGGGAGAACCAAGAAATCAGGTGGAAAATTGCTGCCACATGGGTACAGAGCTCAAAGGAGAATTTAGAGCCTCACAGTACTGGGGAAGCAAGGATCCAAATTCAGGGTTTGACAAGGAGGAAGGAGCCAGGAAACACCTCAGACTTTCAGGCAAGAGCAGGGAAAAGCTATACCCTAGGGCTGGGGGCAAACTGAAAACAGATCAGCCTCGACTGGGTCAAGATGATTTTTCTAAAACTGGGCGTGGTGGTGCCCGCCTGTAATCCCAGCACTCAGGAGGCTGAGGCAGGAGGATTGTTGTGAGTTTGAGGCCAGCATGGGCTACAAAGTGAGCTCAAGGCCAGCCAGGACTGCATAGGGAGACCCTGTCTCAAAAATACCAAAAAAAAAAAAAAAAAAAAAAAAGTGAAAGAAAAAACATAAATACCAAAGGGATAAATTGAAAAACTGATAGAATGTTAATAAAGCTAAGGTGTTCACCACTTTCAGCCTGTACTGAGAAAATCCTTGACATTCATTCTTATGCAACCATCATAAGACCTCATTAGCCCAGCGTGGTGGTGCACGCCTCTAATCCCAGCACTTGGGAGGCTGAGGCAGGAGGATTGCCACGAATGTGAGGCTACCCTAGGATCTACAGTGAGTTCAAGGCAAACCTGGACTATATAGCAAGACCCTGTCTCAAAACAAAAGAAAAAACCTCATGCAGCCTGGCAAGCGTGAGGTCCTGAGTTCAACTCCCAGTACCCCCCCGAAAAAACTCTCATGAAGTGGATGTTATTTTTCCCAATTTAGAGAAGAAGCTGAGGTTCAGAGAGCTGAAGTCACTTGCCCAGGTCACATAGCAGTGGCACTAGATTTGCTTGATTCTTCTTTCGTTTTTAACCACTCAACATGCCACCTGCGGAACAGTTTCCTTTCCAGGAGTTAAACAAGCCAACACCTATCAGCCAAACTAATAACTACCAATTAACTTCTAGAAGCCTGGGATTAGCACCTCAAGTCCTCACGGCAACCTGGGAAGCCAGTATCATCTCCATTTCTAGGAGGAAAACTGAGGCTCAAGGAATGTAAGTCACTATTCTACAGACACAGCTTTTTTTTTTTCCCCCTCCAACAGAAACTCGCTAAGTCTTTAAATTGGCCAGGCTGGGCTCAAACTTTCGATCCTCCTGCCTCAGCCTCCCAGGTTGCTGGGATTACAGGCATACACCCTACACACCCTGACACCAAATATCCTTCCCGAGGGTCAATTTTGGATGCAACCCTCTTCCTCTAACCATAAAAGTTAAGTAGTTTTCCTTCTACTCTCCCTAAAAAGGAATGAATGAAGATTTAGGACAAAGCTTTCAAGGAGCTATTAATACAACAGCATGATCGGTGTGGTGGTGCATGCCTATAAACCCAGCACTCTGGAGACTGAGACAGGAGGATTGCTACAAGTTCGACGCCGGCCTGGGCTACACAGCAAGTTTGAGGCCCGCCTGAACTACATGTCGATACCTTGTCTCAAAAAAATAAAAAATAAAAATAAAAGCAGCACCAAAGCTTAACGCTGAACAGAAGATCACAGCGCGACAGACCATATGGCCTCTCTCTGCGCCACCAGCCACAAACACTACAGTGGCCCAGCGCTTCGCTGGGGTGCACGTGTTTGCCCCAAAGCGTTGGGCGCGCTTCCAGGGCAGCCACACGCATGCGCGACCGCGGTGTTCCGGTGACCTGACTAGAGTGGAGCCCGCCTACCCTCAGTGTGCGCCTGCGCGGTGGGAGGAGTCGGGGCGGGGCGGGGCTTAGAGACGCAAGCGCTGTGCGCCGCTGCGTGGGCCGGAGTTTTTTTGGAGGGAAAGGCGCACGCGCACGCTCTCCGTCCGCGGTCAACTGCCGTTCCTCGCTCGTGGCCTTCAGCTGTGTCGCAAGTGTGGGACACGACTCCAGGTACACCCTGCCCGTGGCACAGTTGCCCAGAACACCCCTGTTAGCGAGCGCCAGCGGAATCTTGGCAAAGCTCCCCAAGTTGTTGTTGAAGAGACACCCCCAAACTAGGGCCTCACGGAACCCTGGCCAAATTCCCCCAGAAGAGCCACTAGGAACCCACTAGGAAATACGGCAGGTGAGGGGCTGGGGACTTAGCTTAGCGGCGCAGTGCCTGCCTGGCAAGCGCAAGGCCGTGAGTTCGATTCCCGGTACCCGAAAAAAAAGAAAACCAAAACCAAAGGAAATAGGGCAGGTGACCCCTGAAATTCCTAAGCGCCCAGAAATTCTGGCACACTTCTCAGAGCCCGGTAGAGTTGCCCTGCGATGCTTAGCGACCGCCTCCCCCAACCATGTCAGAGACCCGAAGATCTGTGGGAGGCTCGGAAACCCTAGAGTCCCCAAATCCAGCCAGAGACCCCCAGATCTTGCCTCCCCGAAGCTCCACCTGCGGCCTGCACCTGCCAGGCCGTGTCCATCAACCCAGCCAGGCATGCTGACACACCCTATAACCCTAGCGCTTGGAGGGGCTGAGGCAGGATGGTTGCCTTGACTTCGGGCCTGCCTGGACTACATAGCGTGACCCTGTCTGAAGCACCCCCCCGGAAAAGCCCCTCAGACTCTTCCAGTGACAGGGGCCTCCAAGGTCCCTCAGCACATTGTCCCTTGACCCTGCCAGAGCTCCAGGCCTGTCAGGACCCTGGAAGGACGCCCCCTTCTGCCCTGATCATCCCCTGTGCCCATCCAGGGTTCCTGGAAGGGTCTCTCTCCAAAGACCCCTTTTCCAGGAGCCACTAAAGACCCCTGAGAAACTGCAGCTGGCAGATTGTGTCTGTCACCAGAGAGCAAGCTGTTGGCATCACTTGGGGAGGAAAAAGAGAGGACGGGCCTGGCCACCCTCCTTGACCTTTTCCTGGTTGCTTTTCAGCCCCAAGGGGCGCCGTGGCTGGTGTAACTGCTACGAGTGCCCCTTCTCTGGGGAAAGTGCCCTGGAGTTGGGAATGGTCAGCCTGGTTATTATAGTGGTGAGGCAAGACGTGGTCAGGGCACATGGGAGTCCCTCGTTCTCCAGGGACTCCAGGGGCCTGAGAGCCTGGAGTGGGGCCATGGACAAGCAGAGGTGTGGGGTGAGGCTGGGCCTGCAGGTGCTCACGTACTATCCATCCTGAGCTGGGTCCCGAGAGCAGCAAGTTTGGGGGATAATGCTGAGCTCCCATGGGCCACGGAGAGTGAGGAATTTAGGGGTTGTCAGGGAAAGAAAAAAGTGACAAAAAGTGGCAAGGAGCTGTGTGTGTCACCCCAGCGTGACTATCTGGGGTACTGGGCAGCCATAGGGCTGAGAATAGGATAGCAGACTGGCACGAGAGGCCAGTGGTCTGAATATGAGATAAAACAGCAAGAATGCCAGCTGCCAAGCTAGGCATGGTGACACATGCCTGTAATCCTAGCACTTAGGAGGCTGAGGCAGGAAGATTGCCTCCAGTTCAGGGCCAGTCTGGGCTACATAGTAAGGCCCTGACTCAAAAAACAAATAAAACAGCAACAACAAAAGAATCTCAGCTGCCAGGACCATGTGATAGCTCAGACACGCTTGTTTGTCCTGGGTGCAGGTGAGAAACATTTTTCAGGAGCAGAGAGACAGGAAGGTAAGCCGAATGTCAGAGACCAGGAGACATTTGGGCCCATTTGAGGAACAGGGTATAGTTCAGAGCTTCTGGAGAACTCATTGGGATTTGGGGAAGAGAACCAGGTGGTCCTGCTGGGCCTTTGTGGGCAGATCTGATCTGATCAGACTCTGTCCTTGGTGCTGGGAAACCAGGGAAGGGGAGGGCAGGTCAGCTGTGGATCCCCATGGGAATGGCCTAGAGGCTGGGGCTCCTGGCATGAGGCCCCTGGGGCAGGGGTGTGGGAAAGGCAGGTATAAGGTAGTCAGGGAGGAGGGAAGACCTGGGGACACAAGGCAGGAGAGTAAGGAGAACCACCCTGATTCCCTAAGGGGAGTAGAGGTCCCCTCCTACTACCCCCCCTTTGATCTCTGCCACCCACTCCTGAGGTCCTGTTTTACCAACCATAAAACAGGCTGGAGCGGGAGCTGTTTGATGGGGGTAGGGCTGGCAAACAGGTTCTGAGAACCCAGAGGGCCCAGGCACAGGAGGAAGGCAGGTCCCCACCCGAGGGTGGCTAGACTGACAACGCATTGCTTGTCTTTCCAGGCACTCCTTGGGCAGCCAGTCCCTCTCCTGCCCCTCCCCGGCTTGGGGAGAAGCTGGTAGCCTCGCTGGGCAGCTGCACAGAGGCGAGTGTGGCCCATGGACCTGCCAGAGAGCCGGGCTGGTGGGCCTGCCGCAGAAGGTAAGTAGCTGGGCCCCTCTTGACCCCAGAGGTGGAGGAGCTGAGGCGCGTGGCATCAGGCTCGGGGCCTTAGCAAAGGTGGCTCGGGTGGCTGTGCAGGGTGGGCCGAGGGAGCCATGCTGGACTGGGTACTTACCTGTGCCCACTCACCCGTCCGTGCCACTCATATGCTCTGGGGAGGCTGTACCACCCACCTGGCGCACCCTTCCCATCACCCACACCCCCTCCATTCAGGGCACCACCATCGGCACCTCCTCCTTCAGTAAACCAGCGGCCCTGTCACACGCTCTCCCGTGTCACTTCTCGTGGCACTGACATGTTTGTGTCTGTTTAGTCTCTGTCTCCCCCAGAACAGGAGTTCCGCGAGGCTGAGGCTGGTTTATTTCCAGTTCCTAGAGAGTGCTGTCTCATGAAAGGGTCATGCGAGTCTCATACGTAATTTTTAATTATTTTAAAAGAAAAAAAAAACGGTAAAACGAATGGTAATAACAGATTCTTAGCTCTGTATGTCCAAAGTATATCTTCTCTGCTATTAGCGGTATTAAAATGTACTGAGACTTTCCTTTCAAATGAAGCTGTCAGGATCTAGTGTGTGTTTGGCACTAACAGAGCGTCCTGGGTCCCATCCGCCCCAGCGTGGGTGCTTAGCAGCCACACACAGGAGTTGGTGCAGTGCTTGACGCAGCAGGACTGGCACTGCGCAGTGCACATGGAGGGATGCGGAGCCAGCTTCGGGAAACGGTGTTGTGCTGCCACTCTCATCCCTAGGGGAGCCCGTTCCGATGGGAGAAATGGGGTGCCTTTCTCAGAAACTCCCCAGTGTCTCCCAGCACAGCCTGCAGCTTTTCCGAGGCCTGGGCCTGGCCACTGGCCGCAGGAAGCTTTCCAGATAGGGCCTCAGACCCACCCCAGGGTGAGGAGGCGAAAGTCAGGCTGACCAGCTGGTGACTGCCACCTAACCGGCACCTGTGCCGGCAGAGGGCGTGCAGCCACCAGGAACCACGGGCCAGGGCTGAGCCAGCTTGGGAGGCTCTCACAGGAAAGGGAAGACACACCCAGAAGGCGACAGAGACAGGAGGCGTGGCAGAGGGACCACGAACACAGAGGAAGGCAGGGACAGGAGACAGGGACAGAGGAAGAGGAGAAGGCTGGGGAAGAGAGTTGCCAAGATACGGGAAGAGAAGCACAGAGGTGGAGACAGAAAATAAGGACCAGAGATATAGCCAGGCAGGACACAGGCAGAGACGGGAAACAATGGAGAGAAAGATCAGAGAGAAAAGTGGAGAAGAGGCAGGGAACAGAGAGGGGATGTCTGGGGCTGGGGATTTAGCTCAGTGGCACAGCGCCTGCCTGGCAAGCACAAGGTCGTGAATTGGATTCCTGGTACCGGAAAAAAAGCAAAAAAAAAAAAAAAAGGGGGATGTCTGAGCTGGACAAGGGACCTAGGCAAGTCCCTGTGCCTCAATCACCTCATCTGTAAAGTGGGGCTGATTAGAGTCGCCTCCCATGTTCACATGAGGGCTCAGAAGAGACCTGGCACCTAATAAACGCTCTACAAGTATCCACTCTGTCACCGCATCTCTTCCATATGCCAGGCCTTGTGGCCGGCCTCTGCAGAATCCCCAGAGTTCTCCCCTGGGAAGGTAACCGGGCACCCATCCCCCAGGGGAACAGCTGAGGCTCAGAGTCCCTTACCCCAGGCACTGCCCCATGTTCTAGCTGCAGCCCATTTCCCAACCCTGCAGCCGGTGCCCAGGAAGCCCCTGGCAGCTGCTGTCCTGGGCACCCAGAAGGTTGCCGCTGGCTGTGGGAGAGCCTCAGGGCCAGCCTTGTGGAGATGTCTTCCTGTGTCACAGAATACGTGTGAGTGTCTGCTGCGTATAGGCAATGTGGAGCTAGCAGTGAACAAGCAGGCCCTCGGGACAGACACACATACACACACACACACCTAACAAGCAGGCCCTAGGGACAGACACACACACACATATACACACACACAACAAGCAGGCCCTCGGGATAGACACACACACACACACCTAACAAGCAGGCCCTC